ACACACAATTCACTCCTGAGAATGTCAGAATATAGTTCAATCTAGGTTTTCTACAGATGTGAATAAAAGGGCTCTTAGCTCTCATATAAGCTAAAAATATCTATTGGATACAGGACATCCCTTATTTTACACCACAGGATGAATGCAAAAAACCTCCAAGGAGTCCATAAATATGTAAGGTATGTTTCCTTCCTCCTAATTGAGCCCCATTTTTTCCAAAGGGCCCTATTTTGGTTGAGGTAACCTCTTCCAAGAAGAGAGATGCACTTGGGATTGCCTCTCTGGTGAGGCTCTTTTCCCCCAGGTACCTCTACTGTCCACGGAATTTGTAGTGCTAACCTAAAAAGCCTATTTGAGCTACGTTGAAACAGAACTTTGTATTTGGGATTGCTAAAGAGTCACTCCCTTTCCCAACGGACATGCATTGTCCAAAGAACTGTTAACAGGAGAGAAGATTAGGTTTGCTCCCCATTTTGACTTTGTCCTTTGCAGCCCCTCCACCTCTGTGGCTGAGCAGAGCTCTTCCTTATATGAAATGATGAAGAGCAAAGTCAGCAGAACCAGGAGAACAAGTTACATATCACCCCATGTAAAGGAAAACAACTTTAAAAGCCTTGAAAGTTCTACTTTAGCTCTCCCAAAAGTTCCTACTCACCTCCCCACTTCTTGTCATTGTGAATATCTATCCTCATTATCCATACCTGGGTCTGGACCCAGGCAACACTTGAGGGGGGGTAGTCCATCCCATGTGTGTGTGGAACTGGTCAGTTCCTTCTCCTGGACCCTGCATGGTTTTATTTTTGTGGGTTTTTTTTTCTCCACCTAGCACTCCCTTTACCTTCCTTAATCCCTTGCCCTCTATCTTTTACCCTCAAAGGGTTATTTTTTTCTTTTTCTTACTATAAAGAGGGTAATTGCTGTTTCAAAGCCTCTCTCAACAACACCAAAAATGCCAAGTTTTCCTAGGCTAAATATGTTCAAGTCACATTTAGTATGTGCCTCTGAATGGGTACAATACCTAAGTCCCCATCCTTTATCTGGCCAATTTTTTTTCCTTTTCCCCACAATTTTCCTATTCCCTATTGAGCCTCACCCCTCAGTTGTGAACATAATTGGCAGGATTCTGCCGAGCTATTACAACTTGTCTACCCAGGAGTCCCCGGAAGGCTTGCTCCTCCAGCTCCCTTTATGAATTCCTGTATTCCCATCTAAATACATGCAAGGCTATGTACTTACCTGTCTCTTCCATTAACTTTTCCTTCCATCTATCCTTTTTTGTGCACAAATGAAAAAAAAAATCAAAATTTGGGTTTTGGGATGCATTTCTCCTTTCTCTGTCCTGAGTTTTGTGGAGCTAAATTCTCTGCCACTTCATGGCTTACCTGTTCACCTCGTGGCTGGGGCAGGAGCAGGGGGCAGAGGATCCACTCCAGTCTGCTATCAGACAGTGCATACTGCCAGCTTGGGAGGATGGAGAGGATGGAGCAGGCCTGCCCACAGTGATATCCGGGGATGAAAGTCCTCAAAAGATCCTGGCTAGCTTGCCATTTGTTAAAAGGAAAATTCTTTATTTGGGCTTTCACCCTGACTAACAGGCAAAACTCAGGAAAATGAAAATTAAAGGAGTTTATTAAAATACATCAAGGTAGTAACTCATTGACAGGCTCATCACTAGAAATCAGCAAGGATTCAAGATGTAGCCGGTTTTTATTGATAACTTTCATAACAAGGGCAAGACAATTCAGATAGGTCCACTTCAGCAAAAGAGGATGGCCCATTGCATCTCAGCTCCTCCCCTATTGCCTGTATATAATATTTAACAGGTAGGAAATGACCTGCTATAGGTAAGAGGTGACCTGCTATATGATGAATAGCTGGTAATACAAAAGCTGAGGACTGGGTGATACCTCCCCCAACACTGATTCACAAACAGTCCTGAAAACAACAGTTCACTAAATCAGAATAACTTTTAATAGAGTTTTCACAAAACCTCCCACCACCCACCGCCTCCTAGGCACAGGACCTATGCTTGGCAGGGTCTGCTTTTTGAAACTTCATTCAGCCTTGAGTAATTGGGTCTCTATATTCATATCTGATGGGAAAATATCTCAGTCCAGCTATTACCCTGACTCTCTCAAACTAATGAATTTTCAAAATGATGAATTCTCAGATTGCAAGATGGGGTGGCTCTCTCTGGAAGAATGTTTATCTGCTAGACATTCTGGCCAAAGTTTGAGAAGGGCAAGGAGACAAATCTCTTCCTCTACCCTCTTCCTGTCCCCAACCAAATGATTCCCTCTTGGAAGCCAGGTTCTTCCTGGACTGTTATCTCTTGCCTATAATCTCATTAGCTTTTTGGACTGCCACATCTCACTGTTGACTCATACTGAGCTAGAAGACCACTAAAACCTCCTGTCAAAGTATATTAAAAAGTCTCCTTTTTAATTTCTCTGGAAATATTAAGTGATAAATATTTCCCTTTAAGAAAGTGATTCAGTTGGTTTTTGTCCTTCATACTAGAAGAGGGCCACATGTCAGCTGTGGCTGATTAGATTAATTTAGCTCAGAAGACCCTACCACAGGCCAGGCACAAATAGTCCATATGAACATTTGGAATGGAGAGGTTTTCAAATTTGCACTTTGAGTTACTTCAATTCTGCTTTGTTCATAGAGCACCGTACCTTCTTTAATGCAGAGGGTGTTCCTGTGCCAGTGACTCCCGTGTCTTACAATTGATTTTAAAGTTCTTCAGAGAGACCTTGAGAGTGTCCTTGTATCACTTCTAACTTCTGTGTGAGCACTTGCCTTGTGTGTGTTTTCCTTAAGATAGCCTTTTAGGCAAACGTGAATTTGACATTCAAACAATGTGGCCATCCCGTCAGAATTATGCTGTCTGCAATAGAGTTTGAATGCCTGGCAGTGCCGCTTGAGGAAAGACCTCAGTGTCCAGTACCTTATCTTGCCAGGTGATCTTCAGAATCTTCCTAAAACAATTCAAATGGAAGCAATTCAGTTTCCTGGAATGACACTGATAGTCCAAGTTTCATAGGCATGCAACAGTGAGGTCAGTACAATGGCTCTGTAGACCTTGAGTTTGATAGGCAGTCTCTTCTCTCCCACATTTTCCTCTGGAGCCTCCCAAACGCTGAACTAGTTCTGGCAATGTGTGCATCAACTTCATCATCTTTGTGTGTATCCCTGGAAAGTATACTGCCAAAGTAAGTGAACTAATCCACAGCATTCAAGATTTCTCCATTTGCTATAACTGATGGTTCCACATATAAATGATGCAATGCTAGCTGGTGGAGAACCTGTTTTTTTGGTGTTGTCAGGCCAAAATTAGCACAAGTGGCAGAGAATCGATCCATACTCTAGCACATCTCAGCCTCAGAGACTGCACTGAGTGAACAATCTTCTGCGAACAAAATGTTGCACACCAACTCTCCCTACACTTTAGTCTTGGCTTGTAGCCTTTTCAAGTTAAATAATTTACCTTCAGTGTGTAGTTGACCTTGACGCCATTTTCATCCTCACTGAAGGTGTCTGACAACATCGCTGAAAACAGCATGCCAAAAAGCATGGGAGCAAGCACACAGCCCTGCTTCACTCAGTTGGTGACTGGGAAAGTGTGAGAGCATCATCTGTTATCCAGAACCCTTACAAGCACACCATCATGGAGCTGGCAAACAATATTGATGAACTCTGGGAAACGAAATTTTGCCATGACCTTCCACAAGCCCTCACAACTGACAGTATCAAAAGCCTTGGCCAGATCAACCAACATTTTGTACAGATTTCTGTTCTGCTTCTGGCATTTTTCCTGGAGTTGTTGGGCAGCAAACACCATATCAACCGTTACTTGGCCCTTTCTGAAGCCACACTGGCTCTCAGGTAGATGACCATCTTCCAGATGAAGGATCAGCCTATCAAGGAGAACTCTGGCAAGAATCCTGCTGGCAATGATTATTAAGAGAAAGACACCCTCCCTCACACCCCTATTCCCGTGATTGTCACAGGACGACCTTTTTCCCTTTCCTTTCTAGAGATGGACGATAGAGGGACCCTTGAACTCCTGGGGCCTCTTGCCATATTACGTAGAAGATTTTGGTCAGCTTTTGTATGAGCAGTGGGTCCCCTGCCTTGTAAATCTAGGTTGGAATAGAATCAGCACCAGGTACTTTGCCGCAGGAGAGGAGCCTAATGGCTTTCAAAATTTCTTCTTCAGTTGGAAGTTCAGCTGAAGAGACATTGACTTCAACCTGAGATTGGTTTCAGTATTGATTAATGACAGTCTGTTGACAATGCTGTGGAAGCATTCAGTCCATCTTTACAGGATCATGTCCCTATCACTAATCAAAGTGGCTCCATCAGCACTGAGCAGTTGAGATGCACCATAGGTCTTTGGCCCAAAAACAGCCTTCAGAGCATATAAAAGCACTTTGGATTGTTACTATCAGCATAAAACTGAATTTCATCTGACTTCTTACTGAGCCAAGAATTCTACATCTCTCTCAGCGTTGCTTGCACTTTACTTTTTCTTTCTTTTTTTTTTATTAATTTATCAACAATCACTTCCATAAGCTTTTGAGTTTTAAATTTTTCTCCGCCTCCATCCCCAAGACAGCACACAATCTGATATAGGCTATACATATACATTCCTATTAAACATATTTTCACATTAGTGATGTTGTAAGGAAGAATTAGAACCAATAGGAGGAACCACAAGTAATAGAAAACAAAGCCAAACAGAAGAAAAAATAGCAAATAGTATACTTCGATCTACAAACTCCATAGTTCTTTCTTTGGATATGGATAGCATTTTCCATCATGAGACCTTCAGAGATGTCTGAGATCCTTGCATTGCTGAGAAGGGCTAAGTCTATCAACATTAGTCATCGTACAATGTGACTATTACTGTGTACAACATTCTCCTAATTCTGCTCACTTCATTCAACACCGTCCATACAAGTCTTTCCAGGTTTTTCTGAAGTCCACCTGCTCATCATTTCTTATAGCACGATAGTATTCCATTATATTTGCACTTTACTTTTGATGGAGTTAAACGCTGCCTAGTTAGAGCCAGACAAACTATCCTGCTGATAAGTGTTATAGAGTTCTCATTTTTTTTTTTGTTTAGCAGCTTCTGAATTTCACCATCATTTTCATCAAACCAATCTTGAAGTTTGCAAGCGTTCTGGCCCAGATGGGTAAAAGCAGTGCTCTACACTAAACCCCTGAAAGCTTCCCACTCCTTTTCAGTTCTATTCTTGCCAACCATGTGTTGGCTCAACTTTCACTCTAAGTTAGCAACAAAGGGTTCACCCTCAGAGAAGCACTGTTGACATTACAGCTTCTGGTAGTTGTCTTGCCTTGGAAACTACAGCTTTTGTTGAATGCAAATGTTTGGCTAGGAGAGGATAAATCTATGACCTATCCAGCGCTCTGTGATACACATCACCTTTGTCACTCTCACATCCTTCTGTATCTTCTCCTTACAACGATGTAGTATATTAAATGCCAATGTTTGATGCAAGGGTACATCCATCAAGTTTTATTGCATTTAGGTAAGCGGAAGACAATGTTAGTGATGAGAAGGTCATGAGATCCACAAGTCTCCAGTAGTAAGTGACCAGTAGTAGGCAACACTTTGCTGTTTCTGGTTCCATTCTTCCCAAGATCTTCCCTGCCAAGTCTGATAGTCTGTGCTTACTCTGGCCTTAAAGTGACTCAGAATTACAAACTTGTCCTCTTTTGGCACATTGATGGTGAGAGAATCCAGGTCTTTATAAAACTTTTCTTTGACCTCATCAGGGTTCATCGTGGTGGGAGCATGTGATAATGATGGTGGCGTGTTGCATTGTCATGAGCCTGCCATTCACTCCATTTGGGAGGCATACAAGCTTGTTAACTAGATTAGTTTTGATTATGAAATTTATGCCAGCTTCACAGTATTCTCTATCACTGCAGCCACATCAGAAAAACGTGTATCCAGCTGCAACTAAGGTAAGCTGGTCTTCATTTGCCAGCTCTATTTCACTCAGGGCTGCTATTTGGAGGTGATACCTGCTAAGTTTTCCCACAACAAGAGCTCTTCATCTTTCAGGTCTACTGGATTTAGTATTGTCTATCAGTATGCACACATTGCATGTACCAATGGTTAGTGGAATCATCTTTGCAAAAGTTTTTGTACATTTTTTTGTGTTTTGACCGCCGGGTAGGATCCCTGCCTGCTGCATAGTAAGCAGGCCAGGATTAGGTTAGGTGAAGCGGACAAGTTTTAGGGTACCTTTTCTAGCCCCTTTCCCACACCAGGAGGTGAATAGTATGGTCCTTAAAAAAGTCTGCTCAGACACTCAGGGAACTGCTGAATCTCCCTGCTGCTTTGGTACGATGCGAAGACAACCCTATGGGCTGGGCTGCCTGGGTGCAGGGTTGTGACTATAGCTCCCAGTGCATACACATCTGCTGCTTTGTCACTTACCCATTGCCACAAGACTTTCAGGTAGGTAAAAATAGTAAAATGATGTGGGTGGTATCTTCTGACTTGTACATGCATTGGATTTAAGTGAAGCAGAGTTGCACAAAGTTGTCAGCTTTACTCTCTCTTCTAGTCATCAAAGTTCACTCGCAGAACAAAAGTCAAGATGACTGGTGGTGACATGAAATTCAGTGGATGACTTTGATGTCTTCGATGTTTAAACAAGTTCTGAGCACTCCAGAGCACCTGCTTCCACCGCCTGCATGTCCCATTAGAACAAATTGTTCGCACCCACCTATTCTGCCAAGGAAGTCTTCATATGCTTGGGGTAGACAAACCTCTAACTCACTTATGAGTTTGAGACTTTCAATTACCCTCAACCTGGTTTAGCCTATCTGCTGAAACACTTTACTAGGTCATGGCCACTCCCCATGCTACAATTTCTTGGAGCCGTAGGTGAGAGTTGGATAAATCAGGTGGACATCAAAGATGGAAAGCAGCCCTGAAAAGAGCTCGGCAGCCCTCACACCAGAAGTAAAAGTTTTCTCTGAAAACCCATACACCACAAAAGTGCATAGAATAAAAGCTAAGGCTTTTCTTTTAAAGGAAATAAGGATGTGAAGAAAGGGTGATAACCAAACTTATCTCTTGAAGTGGTTTAAATCCTTGACTTCCTCAAGCCCTAAAGAAATTGGCCTGTCACCCACCCAAGGAAAGTGTCTTCTTTTTTTATTCAGAAAGAACTGCAATATTGATGATTCTGATCTTGGAGAGGAGATCTTCTCTTTCAGTGCTGGAGAGGGGGAACAAACAGGGAAGCAATTAAGTAATAACTATAATTCTGGAATGGTACCCAAAATTCTTTATAACATTATAATATTTTCCATATTCAAGATTCCTATAAAGTTACCATTGTCATGGGGCAGAAAGAGATGTGAGGATATGGGTGGCCTATACCAGTTTAGATATCTTTTTTTTCTCTAGGCTAGAAATGTCTCTGATTTAGAATAAAGTTAAAGTAAATAAAATTGTTTCTGTCAAACTTGTGCCTAAACTGTACAGTTCAATACTAACGTTTTTTTCCTTGAACACTACCAGTTGTTTTTTCCACACAGATCGCTACTGATCCACACTTTTCCTTTCTGCACTTGGAAAATCAATTTTCTGCACCTAAATGTAGATCTTGTGAAATTCAGCCCATCATTTTCATCTATTAAGATCTTTCTAAATTATATCATCCAGGGAAGCTAACCTTTTCTGTTTACTATCATCAGCAAATTTGACACGTATCGAAGTCATTGGTAGAATACGTTGAATAGGACAGGATCGAGGGTCGATATCCGTTTGTAAAGACAAAAGAGACTTCACTAAAAACTTCTCTTCACATTGATATCACACCACTAATCACTACTCTTTGGATCCAGTCATTCAACCAGTTCCAAATTCATCTAACTGTACTATTATCTAGCCCACACCCCTTCATATTTTTCACAAGGATAATATGAAGTAATTTGCCAAATGCTGTGCTGAAATCTTTACTTTGTTCATGATATTCCTATTCTTAAGGAAAGCACTCCACCGCTCTATTGTCCATAACTATTCATCTCTGCTCTAGCCTCACTTTCCTACCTTCACAACTTTGACCCTGTGATTGACTAGATCAAATATACACTATCTTCTCATCTTCAGTCCCTGGATCACTTGTCCTATCACTGCTAACACCTTGCCACCATTGCTTTCCCTGTTCCTACTTGTTCTACTAAACACTGTTAGAGAAAGTCACACTACTGTACTTTCTGGATCTCAGTATAAATTTGTTATCTAATTTCAGCTTCACCATTATTGCTGCATCACAATTCCTTTATAGTACTTCAAGCGGTTATCACACTCCTCTCAGTAGCTTTTCCAAACCTCCTCTTTTCCCCTCAAATCCCCTTAACTACCCTTTCCCTTTCATTCTCAACAGAGAATTCCAGTTCCTGCTTTAATAACATAAGCAAGGCTATCCCCAAAGTTCCTTCTTTTCCTCTACTCCATACCTTTTCCTCATTGTCCCCTATTCTGTCCTCTCTCTGAAAAAGAGGTAACTTTTCTTTTTTTTGCCAAAGTCAACATCTCTACTTGTGCCTTAAATCCTGACCCCTCTCGTCTCTTCTGGGAGCATGCCCTTTGAATTATTTGTTTTTCATAATTTTTGAAGGGCTAGTTTGTTTCTTTTTTGTCTTGTTATAATTTTTATTGGTGTTTTCTGTTTCTTACATTACCACAGTATCCCATATATCCCTTCTCCACCCCCTTCTTGAGAGCTATCCGTATGACAAATAATATATTTTTAGAGCAGAAAAAAAAGTCAGCAAACCAATCAACACATTAAGAAAGTCCAAAAGTATATGCAACAAGTAACGACTATGGACTTCTCACTTCCACAAAGGGGTAGGTTGGGGGCATCTTCTCATTTCTCTTTGTTTGATTCTCACTTTCTTCTCTATCATTTTCAATCTTTCCTTAGCTACTGGCTCCTTCCTGATGCCATAACTAGGTCTCCATGATCCTTAAAAAAACCTTCTCTTAACCCTTCTATTCCCTCAATTTATCATCCTCTAGCTCTTCTCCATTTCACAGCCAAACTTTTACAAAAGATCCATTATATTCAATGCTTCTTGGCCATTGAACTGAAATTGCTCTCTCTAAAGTTGCCATAATTTCTTGGTTTCTAGATCCAATGGATTTTTCTCAATCTTAAACCTACTTTAACTTTTTGTATTTTTTGACACTGATGACCACACTTTCTGCCAACATGTTCCCTCCTCCCTTAGCTTTACTAACACTACTCTGTCTTGGTCCTTTATGCACCAGCCAAAACTGTACCACTAACTGTTTTCTAAACTCAGCATTCCACGTCTTATCTCTGTGCCTTTGCTGAAAGTGTCCACCATGTCTGGAATTCACTTCCTCCTCACTCTTGCCCCTCATAATTCCCAGTTTCCTTGCAGTCTCTATTTAGATGCTATTTCCTATATGAAGCCTTTCTTGATCCTCACTGTGTTAGTTGCAATATCCTAACCCCTATCTCCATGCAAATTAAACTAGTTTTTCCTTAAAAGATATTGAGACCATCCTCAAGACTTGTTTGGCTGAAAGGACTAAAAGGTCAGGCTTGTGTTGATCCCCAAGTATAAAACAACCTTGGGAAATTCCAGAAGCCCTCTGATGTTTGGCTGGTGGAAAATGGACAACTGAAGCAAGGGAGCTTTGCTCAAGAAAATTAATTTGAGATGTCATATCTCTGGTGAATATCCTTCACTTGCTATGACTAAGCAAATCTCTTTTTTGTTGACTGTTGTATAATCTACAAGTATCTGAACTACTAGGAGACAGGCAGAACACCCTCCCCTCCACACATACATATACAGAGAGAGAGAGAGAGAGAGAGAGAGAGAGTTGTTAATGCTCCGGCCTGCTTCAAATTGTCTTGTGTTTATCTGTCTATATTCTGAACCCCCTCCCCCCAAGTAGACTGGAAAGTCCTTGAGGAAAGGGTCTTTTTCATGTTCATTTTTGTATCCTGTCCCCTAGCATAGTTTCTTGTGCATAGTAAGCATTAGCTTAATCAATGTTTGGTGTCATCAAATTGTTCAGGTGTGAAGGAGTCGCCATTTGTGTAAGAAGAGAGTGTACCCACAGTGACAAATCATGGATCTTTGAAGTAGTAGAGTAAGCATTTGTTGGAGCCTATTTCTGGGACTTGGAAAGATTTCCCAGAAGAATAAGTTGTCAGTCAATGCTGAAAGCAATCAGCCTTTGTGTTTGGTAAGCATAAGAGAAAGCCAGGTGGCTTACCTGGAGGTACTAACTATAACAGAAAAAGGAAAGCAGAGGCAACAAGCAAAGGGTAGTAAGGCAGCATCCATCCCAAAGCTGGGGCAAAAATTGACACTTCCAAAGTGAAGGCAGCCGTACCCTAGAGGCTGGGACCAATACTTCCCAAACTAGGGCAGCATACCAAATGTTCCCAGACTGGGGCTGGCACCCATACTTCCAAAGCAGGACACAGGGTGGAACAAGGAAGAAATACAAACCAGGGACGTCACCAGGGAGCTCCAGCTATAACAGGGAAACCAGTCAGACCCACCTAAATGAGTTCGGACCCCACTCTATGAAGCACATAGCCTTATTCATCTTCTAGACCTGCTATGATCTCTGAGGAGTCCTATCTATCAAACGGATGAGAAGTGGATGTAATGTTGTACCAAATATATATTACATAATATATTGTATATTTATTACATATTTATATTTTATTTTTATTACTAAAATATTTTAAAATATATTTTTAAACTTTTTTTAATTTCAAGTTCCAAATTCTATCCCTCTCCACCCCCCCCCCCCGATGGAAAGCAATCAAAATATCTCATTTTGTTCCAATCTCAAGCCTGAACCATCAGACTGGCCTACGTCAGGCCTTGTAACTGGCAAGATTGGTTTAGAATTACCTCACTGACAATCTTGTAATTGAAATGGGTAAAGGTCGAGGTCAAAGGAGGGGATTCCCTGGTGATTAGCTAGCTTGATAAATGATCTTGACACGCTGAGGCTGCTACACATCCTGCTACCTATGGTCAGTCCTCAATAGGATAAGGTGAGGCTATAGTATCAGAAAACACTACACCCCCCCCATGAAGCCCTTCAGGGTTAATTCTGGATAGGGGTGTGCTGGTAAATATTTAACTACTCTGGGGGAAATGTGCATATGACACACTTTTAAGTTTAATTAGCATTATTAACATTTTCTCCATCACTTTCTAAAGGCTAAAAAATCAACAAAACAATAAATCAATCCCTGGTTGGTAACACTTGATTTCTGAAGTGTAAATACTCACACTGAAAATTTAACAACTGTCTTTCCAGAACTAAGTTGGCTCCCTGCCTTAGACTGTTGAGTATTGGGTGAAGTAGCTGCTCTTTGGGCACCCAACCTATGTCAGAAGGGCTTGAGGAAGTAGCTCCAGAGACTGTGCTATACATTACTTCTGGAAGGTGAGACGCTCAGCCCTGCTAATCGAGGCACGATAAATTCAACTTGAAATGGGCCCTCCCTGCAGTAAAATAATGCCTTTATTCTTCCCTAATTGATAATCTACGTCTCCATAGAAGCTATTTCAAATTTTTTCTTCTCTCCTCAGACCTCCTGTACTTCCCCCTCCAGACCTCTCTCATCCGATGACCTTGCTTCTTAATTCACAGAGAAAATTCAGGCTATTTCATGTGAGCTTCTTTTTCTTCCCTTCCCTCCATCTCAAAACCCACTGATGACATTCCCCATTTGCTCCTCCTTTCTTCTAATCTGTGTCTGCAACCATCTAGGATCTCTCCATAAACCATATTTCCCAAAACTTGATTGAGTAGGCTGGAGTTTGAATTTTCTTTTCTTTTTTTTGGGGGGGGCAGCTAGACAATGAGGTTAAGTGACTTGCCCAGGGTCACATAGCTTGAAAGTGTTATGCGTCTGAGGTCGGATTTGAACTCAGGTCCTCCTGAATCCAGGGCCGTGCTGTATCCACTGCACCACCTAGCTGTCCCTGAGCCTGAATTTTCTTAGGATTGACCTCTCACCTGTTCCCCCTCGTATGGGTCACTATTTGATCTAGGGACTGCCACTGAGGTCTCATCCAGACCAGTCAACCTTACATCATCAATGTAGTGGTGAACATCAGTGCTCTCAGGAAGTGGGGTCCATTTTAGGTCTTTGTCCACTAGCCTGTGGAAATACAGGGGATAATTTAAGTACTCCTG